AGGGTGATTTTTCACAGCAATGTTCACTGAATTCCTGGGAAAGCCTCAATGTCTTTTCCTGCTCCTTTATCCTTGCACTCCCTGCTCTTCCAGCAGCAAGACACAGGTATTTTGGGGGATGGGCTCAACAGGCAAAGTCTGAACTAGGGAATAAAAGTTTGATTTAAGGATTTTTAGCTCAGCAAGTGAACATTTCCCTGCTAACCTCTGGGAGAGCACTGAAAAAAGGGAATAGCAGTGCTGGGCTTTATGAATCCATTTGCTCCATTCTGGAGCAAGTGCAGAGGCCATGCAGCTGACGAAAGGATTGGAGCATCTCTCCCCTACAAGGACAGGCTGAAGGAGCTGGGTCTGTTCAGCCTGGAGAAGAGAAGGTTGTGTGGAGACCTCAGAGCAACCTGCCAGGAGCTGAAGGGGCTCCAGGGAAGCTGCAGAGGGACTCTTGGTTAGGAACTGCAGGGACAGGACAAGGAGTAATGGGGAGAAATTGGAAGAGGAGACATTTAGGTTAGATATTAGGCAGAAGTTTTCCCTGTGAGGGTGGTGAGACACTGTCCCAGGTTGCCCAGGGAGGCTGTGGCTGCCCCAACCCTGGCAGTGTTCACAGCCAGGTTGGATAAGCCTTGAGCAACCTGCTCTGGTGGGAGGTGTCCCTGCCCAGGGCAGGGGTTGGGACTGGATGATCTGTCATGTCCATTCCAACCCCTTAACAATCTATGATTCTATGATTTTTATTTCCTAGGGAAAAGCACTGTGGTTGATCTCACTGAGTTAAGATCCCTTAAATGTACCAAAGCCAAGAACTCATTTGGATTTGGACAATTCATAACCACATACAAATGGCAGAGCAAGAGCCACCAACTCCCAGGTACCACCACTGAGCAGCCAAGTGACTGACCAGGAATAGAGTCAGTGAGAAACCTGCTGCTAAAATAACAGCCTTAATTCCACTGAAATGCCTGCATTAGGCATTTCCAAGGATAACTGGCACATCCCTCACCACACTCTACCAGCACTTCTCCAACACAATGAGGAATGTGAAGGCTGTGAAGGTCAGGGAGGTGGGAACCCCCAGGAGCTCATCCCTTGGTTCCTCTGCTCAGAGTAGCTCCTCATTTTCTGTTCAGGGATTTATTGCATGGCACTTTGAAATTCAAGCAGGACCTAGGATTAAAAGAGCCAGAGGTCTTCCTTGCTGAAGTGAGTAGGAGTAGTGTTCTGCATCCTCTCTCTCAATTCTGGTAATCCTCTTTGCACGGAGGAGACAGTTCCCATTTTGCAGCTGTGACACTGCTGGTGCAGCTGTCTCCTACTCCCATACTGTGTCCTTTGTTAAAATGACTCCCTGTGGAGTTATTTTAACCCCTCCCTGGGGTCCTTGCATTACCCAGCCACCCTCAGCAGCAGCAGGGATATTGCATTCCTCGTGCTGGGACTGCACGAGGTCCACCATGGATACAATGAGCAATCAAGCATTTCACTCTTAGAGGAAAAGGAGTGACCTGCCAACAGCACTTTGTGAGACTAAGGTTTCATTTCAGTGGGAATCAGAACTCCCACTTCACTGCATGGCTGATGCACGCCAGTACTCATGGCTAGTTCAGCTCTGTGTTCCTCCAGGTCTTCACTACGTATTAAACTTCACCAAGCATCACTATGTTAGTTAGGAGTTATTATTAGCAGGTGACATAGTTTATATACCCAAAGCCAGCAAAGCATTCATCTTCCTGCACACCAAAGCCTCAGATTATTGCACTGACAATGATCTTTAAGGTTATTTCCAACCTAAACCCTTCTATGATTCAAACCTCTCTACAGGTTTTTATCACTGTTAGGGTGCTCAGGCACTGGGATATTGCCCAGGGAGGTGGTGGAGTTGCCACCCATGGAAGTGTTTGAGGCATCTGGAGCTGGTGCTGGAGGATCTGGTTTAGGGGTTCCAGCAGTGACAGGTTAATGGTTAGACTCGATGATCTTAGAGGTTTCCTCCAACCCTGATGATTCTAAGACAAAAACTAGCTGAAAAGCAAGCAGTGCCCTCAGTGCTGCCTTCCAGCCAGGAACTGCTGCTGCTCAGACTAGGAAGTTACAGCCACAGCACTGAGTGATATCATTCTGTTTATAGAACTTTTTCCCTGAGTACAAACACTCCATTTAAGAAGGCTCCATTGATGGCTAAAATTAGCTATTCCTTAGTAGTATTACAGGCCACCAGTGATCCCTGCTCACAGCTTCGAGACGACAGCTCCAGCAGCCTCTTGCTCTGGAAATGTGTTAGGAGTCACTAACTGGCACTAAAAAAACTTGTTGGAACAATCCCTGTGGAGGAAATGGGCCTTGTAAAGGGAAAACTCTCAGCAGTACTATTTTTCCTCCTTTGGAAAAAAAGCAAGCCACATTTGCCCAAAGCAAAATACTGAGCAGGAAAACAACTTTGGTAAAAGTTTAAAAATAATAATATTGCTTATAATGGAAGAATTTGAAAACTCCTGTGTGTTTATCCTATTACTGACTTGTCTCATGGGGATATTCAGGTTTTCCTTCCTCACACCTTCTCTAATCAAGCCAGAGGGAATAAACACATGGCACACAAGTCCCCACAAGGGAAACAACCGACTCTTCTCTTCGGTACCAGGGCCCAGGTGCCAGCACAGCCCCAGGGGAGCTGGAGGTGATTACCACACACCCCTGCAGTGACCTTGAGTGCTGCAGAGGTGCAGCTTTCCCAGCCTTGAGCTCCTCATGCAGAGCTCAGGCAGGAGCCTTTCCCTAGTGAGCCTGGAAAAGGTAGTAAAGTGTTTTGTTTGCACTAGGGAAAAGACAAGGAGCTGCGAGTTTCCATCTTGTTTAAAAGTCAGAAAGAGGAAAACCTGACTTTCCTAGGTGGAAAAAACCTCCTAGATTTCCACTGGCACACAGCTTGCTGCTGGATTTAATCCTGACCCACCGAAGCCAAGAGCTGATGTTGTTGGGATGATCCCTTCTTTCCCAAAGGGAACTCACTGCGTTCAGCTGACCTGCTTTGACATCTTCATGTGCCCTGGAAGTTGAACGTGAAATTCTCTCAAAATAGGGAGAATAGTCTAATGCTCATTTCACTGAGGCTGGAACCTGTGTGAAGGGAGCTCTCCCAAACCTCTGCCCTCCCTGCCTTGCAAACCCAACGGGGCTATTTTTCACAGGACTGTAATGAAACATGCAAAGTCCAATCACATGTGTTTTTAGCAGAATATTATCTGAATGAATGAATTAAGCCACACCCTTATGAGGAAGCAGTTATGGTAAATGGAAGTACCTGCAGATAGGCAGTGGCTGGAGGGCACAATGACACATCTGTTCCACCTCCAAGTATGTCAAACCATGGAGAACTTTAGCATTTTGTGATATTAAACCCCAGAATTGAAGGATCTTGTAGCAACAAGTCAGGTTGGCCAAAGCCTTGAGCAACCTGCTCTGGTGGGAGGTGTCCCTGCCCAGGGCAGGGGGTTGGGGCTGGGTGATCTCTAAGGTCCATTCCAACTCCTTACCATTCCATGATTCCATAACAAGGATATGTGACAGGATTGGAATACACTTGGCACAGTGCTGCCTTCTCCCCCTCAGTCCCACAGCCAGAGCAGCTTTAACAAACCACCACTTTCCAGCCACATTTCTCCAGGGAGTTCTTTCCCCACTTTTCAGCTGCATTTCTTAAGGGAGTTCATTCCCTAAGGTGGAACCTGACAAATATTAAAACCTGTGTTCCAGGATTAAATAAGATTTTTATTGTCACATTTAACTGCTTTGTCAGAGATGTACATTTTGCAGGTTTCTGTGCAGAAGAAAAAAGAAAGACTGTGGTTGTCACCTTGTCAATTCTGATTCCAACATAGAGTTTGTAGCTGAGCCACAGGTGCTCACAAGTAGCCAAAGGGTAACTCCAGAGTCTCTGTTACATGGATTGCAACACTCCAAGACAAAATGCAGCAAGTTAAGGCTAATGAGGATAATGTAAAATAGATAAAAACCAGAGCACTAAGTGTTTAAAGGTGGAAACACTCAGGAGAAGTTGCAATTTTAACACCTCATTCTTCCCAAGGTTATTTTGCTTCATTTAGTCCAGGTAAGGAAAGGCTAAAGGGACAGACTTTTGCCTACGGATACAACACACACTGGAATTTGAGTCTTTTGCAAATCTGATATATTTAAAAACTGTAAGGAACTGCTTTGCTGTTCTGGGGGTAAACCAGAGACACCTCCAAGTGATCAATGCTGCAGATAACCTCAGCTTCAAATGTGTATTTTCTCATGTACACATCAGGGATCAAGTCGAATAATAACAAACTTCTTAGTGGCACAATTTCACATGTTTTGGGCAATGTTAGCATAACAAGCAGTATTTAAATAAAAGTAAGTGCATCCAGACATGAAATTCTCTAAGTATACCACACTTCATTTATCCCAAACAGCAGTTTGCTGACAAGAGCTGTAATTCAAATTAAAGTCATCATTTACACGTTTCACCCAGAGAAAAAGAGGTAATAATAAACCCAGGGGAGTCTCCAAACAACCTTCTCCTACCCTATCCCCTATTTATTACAGAAAATAACTCATCTAGAAGCGTAAAATCCAATGCTCAGATGCAAATAAAATGCAAGAAGCAGTCTCTGATGTTGGTAATTTGCAGACTCCACAGTCCAATCATGCTGGAATTTACTACTCCTGTCGCTCGTTTAACTCTTGTATGTGCACTTGGCATTGATGGTAAAATAACAAATGAGACGATAATGAGGCTAGTGTGGTATAAAGTCATTGTAAACCCAGTGAAACCAGAATAATTCTATGTATGACATTCATCCAGAGGATTTCCCAGGCATCCCACCCCCCCACACCCTTTACAGAAAAAAAGGCAACCATCAGTTGAAGTGAGACACACATTCTGCTAGTACAAAAGGTTGACCCAAACCCCCTCCTCTGATAAGAGCATGCCCATAGAAGAAGGTTGACCACATCTTTTCCAATCAGAGCTTCTCAGAATGATCACAATTTTCTCTGCTTGCAAAAGGCCAATTTGGCTTACCATAAAAAGCTATTTTGAAGGCTGAGATATTTCTTCCCTTTCAGAAATTAAAATTCAAGGCATGATAGTGCAAGAGGTAAGTTTTGATTTGAGAACATTATCTGTAGACTAACTGTGCTTAGTTACTACATCCCAATTTATTGTCTTAAAGAAAATATGGCAACAAAAGCTACAAGATCTCTAGAAATTTCATCTTGCCTAAATTTACCAGTACATCCATGAACCTCCTCAGTATTAGTACAACTTGATTATCCTAATGATTCCATTATAAAACTTGCAAAATGTATCACAAGGTGAATAAACCATCTAGTGCAAGTCTTCTACATGTTGTGTGCACAGGAATCCTGTGTAGTTCATTTCCTCCAGGTTCAATCCCCAAAATCTCTCAGAAACAATTGGGAAAAAAACCAAACAATGTCATGTGGATGGTTTTAGGTTTTTTCCCCCCCTATCAAATCTGAGAAGTTTGAGTGTTCCTGGAGTCACCATCAGGATGTGCTGAGGGCCGTGAATCCCTTGTCTGTGAGTATTCACTGTCGGATGACTCCGTGGGTTCGAGCAAATTCTCGTAATCACTGTCTTCTGACTCCTCACCATTGTCACCCACTGCTCTTTGGGAAGGTGGCATGGATGCTCCATTGCCAGAATATTTCAATCCTGCATTTGTGGAAACATAGCTGGAAGAACCTACTGCCTGAGGCCGAGGCATGAAGACATTGCTCTCCAGGAGCCCATGGCTGACAGTACTGTCTTGAGTGGTGGCGTTGAAATCCGAGTACGGAGGGGGAGGATCGGACACGTCCGAGTCTTCCAGTGTGCAGCCTTCCACAGCAAAGCCAGTGTAGGACATCCGGGGGACAAACATGGGCTCCAAGTTATCTGATGGCATCTGTCTGCTTAAAATTGC